AGGGGCGGGGCCCAATAGGGGAAATAGAGGATTTTTTTTCTCCTGCTATACAAGTGAAGGGATTTTAACCAAATGCAGTCTGAAGCATGATTAGGGACAAAAGAATCAATTTTGTATAAACTGAGGTGTGTGGGCCTCCTTCTAAGGGCAGATGGGTGGGGCCCATTAGGGGAAATAGAGGAAAACATCAAATATCCTTCTCCTTTTGTACCGATGAAGGGATTTTGACCAAATTTGGTCTGGAGCATCATTGGCCAAAGGGTTCTCAGTTTTGTATGAACGGAGGGTATGGTCCCCCTGGGGGCAGAGGGACGGGGCCAAATAGGGGAAAATAGGTAAATCTTTAAAAATCTTCTCCTCAACCAATTGAAGGATTTTGACCAAATTTGTCCTAGAGCATCTTTGGACAAAGGAGACTCAAGTTTGTATAAACGGAGGGTGTGGGCCTTCTGGCGGCATAGGAGCGGGGCCCAATAGGGGAAATAGAGGATTTTTTTTCTCCTACTATACAAGTGAAGGGATTTAAACCAAATGCAGTCTGAAGCATGCTTAGGGAGAAAAGAATCAATTTTGTTTAAACTGAGGTGTGTGGATTCCCCTTCTTTGGGGCAGATTAGTGGGGCCCATTAGGGGAAATAGAGGAAAACATTAAAGATCCTTCTCCTTCTGTACCGTTGAAGGGATTTTAACCTAACCAAACTTGTTTTAGAGAATCTTTGGGCAAAGGGAATTGAATATTTATAAATGGAAGATGCAACTTTGTTACTTGTACTCCTTTGATAAACCTGAATGGTACTCAGCAGGTTTTAAATTGAAAAATAAAATACCAGGTGAGCTATTAAGGCCCCTGGGCCTCTTGTCTTTAGTTGGGATGAAAGTATTTTGACCAAATTTCAACAGTAGTATCCTATTTGTAAGGGAAATCAATTTTGTATAAACGCTGGGCTTGAACCCCCTGGGGCCTTATGGGCGGGGACCAATAGGGGATATAGAGGAATAGCTTTAATATCCTTCTTCTGTAGGAATGACAGGATTATGTCCATATTCGGTCTAAAGCATCCTTGGGTGAAGGAGACATAATTTTGTATCAACGGTGGGCCTGACACCCTGGGGGCAGAGGGGTGGAGCCCTATAGGAGAAACGTGGCAAATCCTCCATTTACTTTAGGAATGAGAGGATTTTGTGTCCAGTTGCATATAAATACAACCCCTGACTAACCATGTAATACATGTACACTTCCAGTGACATCTGGCTACTTCAACTTCAATTTTGCTAACATTTCAAGGTGAGCGATGCAGGCCCTCTGGGCCTCTAGTTTGTTTTGCTATATGTATAACTACCACATACTCATTTTATACTAGTGAAATATATATATATATCATATTCAACGGGAAAACCATTTAATTTTCTATTTACTCACGTCACGTTATGCAAATATTGCTACATCAGAAAAGCGCAAGAATTAGTAGCGTAATCTTTGATGCCAGGTTCTAATGGCGTCAGGCTTGACAACAATACAGAGCGCCATTTTGAATAGGTTTCTCAATGTGATTCTGTCGTTCGCTGCCATTATCTGGTAAGATTTCTAACAAAAATTGTATCAGTTGTGAGGTTATGTAAGTACCATAATGTATTATGCAAGGTGGAACCACAAAACCGTTCATTCTGCTGTTGCTTTGTCTTAACTTGAAACTGAAAATCTAGCAGTGAATAGAATGTACTGTTATGATTGAACAATACTAAGAGTGATATTTTCACAATTGAAGATATCATATTTCTTTTATCTTCACTGTATTGAAGATATGTTTTATTTAATTAAGAATTTATGATATTTCACAAGTAAAATATAATGAATACGGATATCGTAGGGGTTTTTGTAGATAGCTAGTATGCTGCCTCAATTTCCCAGAAGGCTTTGACACATGGGGAAGCACTGGAAGTGGAGAAAGTGTTTACAGATGAAACTCTGGCGGCACTTTGTGCTTCATAGGGGTTTTAAAAACATAGTGCTGTAATTGCCTTATTAGGAAGGAGCTGTTGTAAAATAATGGTAGAAAACAACAGTGTTACAATTTGTTTGAAATAACATTTTCTGTAGCAAAACTTTCTGTGCAAGAGGAAAAGGAAAAAAAAACCCACGTTTATGAAAAGGAATCTACTGAAAAGGGACAGATCTGCTTAACAAACATAATGCTGTAATTGCTATACAAATGTAATAATGTAAAAACAAAATTGACATATTTTGTGTTCTGTAGGAAAGATCGCCATCAACATCTGCTATGGACGCCATCACCCTCTTAACTGGTTGATGTACGGAGTGAATGGAGCCGAAATTGTCTTTAATCCTTCAGCAACTGTTGGAAATCTGAGGTATTTTAGAATAAAATAATCATGAGTGTACAAGGACTTTCATGTGTATATATTGGAAAAGTTGTTGGAAAAAAATGCCGTTGGGATTGTGGCTAAATTTATATTTCATTTACGACAGAAAATTTTATACTGATATGTCATCTTCACCAAGATCAAAATACATTCACAACAATTAGTTTTATATCAGTAAAACAAGCCATATTTTACCTGTAAAATCTGTAAAGTTATGATTTTCTTTGGGTTTAATAAAACATACCAGATATGATACGATATAAGTAAAACTGCTCAACAATGAAAACATGGCCATCAGTATTAAAAACAGAAATGAAATTGAAAAACTGTGTGAATCATTGATGTAGCTATAATTAAGCCTAACGTCTGTCATATTGTATTTGGTTACTTAATTTTTAAGGAATAACAAAAGAGAGGAACTGTTAGATAAAAGGCGGTAAATGTTGAATCATTGTTATCAAAATGTTGATACTGAAATTAACTTTCATAAATTATTTGAGTAAAATTATTGATACAGATAGTTGATATTCTGCTAGGAGATTTCTGCGTAATAATGAACGCTCAGTAATGAACGCTTCAGTTAAACATATAAATCAGATATCATTATAATATAATAAACATACACACAAAATATTAATTAAACTACAACAGACACAGTTATTAAATGATACTGTCATTAATCCTTAAATTATCTGGTGTTCGGCTGACACACGTATAAACACGATGAGTGTTGATTGCAGTCTGTGCATCGAGGCACTTCTATGGCATGAGGTAGGTGAGAAACACAGGTGTGACGACCTGTTCCACAATCAGTAGAATAAATACTAAGGACTTCAACAGCTGGGTATAAATCAGAGTCAGATGACACAGGGTATTCCAGGAATGCCAGTTCCAGTTGTCCAACACAACTCTGCATAGAATATATCAGAGCAGGGTGGGAACCAAGCAAGCCATTGGAAGAACAGGGGTATTTGAATAATGTGAGTTTAGGGAGGAGGGGTATCACTGTATAAAACTTAACAGGAATGTCCATCTTATCTTGAGTAATATCAAGCTTTCTTTAACAATGACTTTGATGTTTGTACAATCAGTTATGACAACTTGTTATGAGATGGTGTTGGTTACAGTGAGCCAATGTGGCCTATAGAAGCCCGGTGTGCAGCCATTGCCAACAGTTACTTCTCCTGTGGCATCAATAGAGTCGGCACGGTAAGTAGACGGGGTATCAACATGTCAGGGTATCAACATGTCAGGGCCAGGCTTTAATGCTAATGGATGTTGAGTATGAGTGGACATAAGCTTAAGGGTGTCAACATAACGGGTATGGTGTGTTGGTGGGACATCAACATTACAGGTATGGTGTGTTAGTGGGACATCAACATTACAGGCATGGTGTGTTCGTGGGACATCAACATTACAGGTATGGTGTGTTGGTGTGACATCAACATTACAGGTATGGTGTGTTGGTGGGACATCAACATTACAGGTATGGTGTGTTAGTGGGACATCAACATTACAGGCATGGTGTGTTGGTGGGACATCAACATTAAAGGTATGATGTGTTGGTGTGACATCAACATTACAGACATGGTGTGTTAGTGGGACATTAACATTACAGGCATGGTGTGTTGGTGTGACATCAACATTACAGGCATGGTGTGTTAGTGGGACATCAACATTACAGGTATGGTGTGTTGGTGTGACATCAACATCACAGGTATGGTGTATTGGTGGGACATCAGCATCACAGGTATGGTGTGTTGGTGGGACATCAATGTTACAGGTATGGCGTGTTGGTGTGACATCAACATTACAGGCATCGTGTGTTAGTGGGACATCAACATTACAGTTATGGTGTGTTGGTGGGACATCAACATTACAGACATGGTGTGTTATTGGGACATTAACATTACAGGCATGGTGTGTTGGTGTGACATTAACATAACAGACATGGTGTGTTGGTGTTACATCAACATTACAGACATGGTGTGTTGGTGGGATATCAACCTTTCAGGTATGGTGTGTTGGTGGGACATCAACATCAAAGGTATGGTGTGTTGGTGGGACATCAACATCAAAGGTATGGTGTGTTGGTGGGACATCAACATCAAAGGTATGGTGTGTTGGTGGGACATCAACATCAAAGGTATGGTGTGTTGGTGTGACATCAACAACATTACAGGTATGGTGTGTTGGTGTGATATCAACATTACAGGTATGTTGCGTTGGTGGGATATCAACATTACAGGTATGGTGTGTTGGTGTGACATAAACATTACAGGTATGTTGTGTTATCAACATCACAGGTATGGTGTATTGGTGGGACATCAACATCACAGGGATGGTGTGTTAGTGGGACATCAACATTACAGTTATGGTGTGTTGGTGGGACATCAACATTACAGACATGATGTGTTGGTGGGACATCATTACAGACATGGTGTGTTGGTGGGACATCAACATTAAAGGTATGATTTGTTGGTGTGACATCAACATTACAGACATGGTGTGTTAGTGGGACATTAACATTACAGGCATGGTGTGTTGGTGTGATATCAACATTACAGGTATGTTGTGTTGGTGGGATATCAACATTACAGGTATGGTGTGTTGGTGGGACATAAACATTACAGGTATGGTGTGTTGGTGGGACATAAACATTACAGGTATGGTGTGTTGGTGGGACATAAACATTACTGGTATGGTGTGTTGGTGGGACATCAACATCAAAGGTATGGTGTGTTGGTGGGACATCAACATCACAGGTATGGTGTATTGGTGGGACATCAACATCACAGGTATGGTGTGTTAGTGGGACATCAACATTACAGGCATGGTGTGTTGGCGTGACATCAACATTACAGGCATGGTGTGTTAGTTAGACATCAACATTACAGTTATGGTGTGTTGGTGGGACATCAATGTTACAGGTATGGTGTGTTGGTGTGACATCAACATTACAGGTATGGTGTGTTAGTGGGACATCAACATTACAGGTATGGTGTGTTGATGGGACATAAACATTACAGGCATGGTGTGTTGGTGGGACATCAACATTTCAGGTATGGTGTGTTACTGGGACATCAACATTACAGGTATGGTGTGTTAGTGTGATATCAACATTACAGGTATGTTGTGTTGGTGAGACATCAACATTACAGGTATGGTGTGTTGGTGGGACATCAACATTACAGGTATGGTGTGTCGTCGGGACATCAACATCACCGGTATGGTGTACTGATGGGACATCAACATTACAGACATGATGTGTTGGTGGGACATCAATATTACAGGTATGGTGTGTTGGTGTGACATCAACATTACAGACATGGTGTGTTGGTGTGACATTAACATTACAGGTATGGTGTGTCGTGAGGACATCAACATCACCGGTATGGTGTACTGATAGGACATCAACATTACAGACATGATGTGGTGGTGGGACATCAACATTAGTGTGTTAGTGGGACATCAACATCACAGGTATGGTGTACTGATGGGCCATCAACATTACAGACATGGTGTGGTGTGTTGGTGGGACATCATGATGGGACATCAACATTACACACATGATGTGTTGGTGGGACATCAACGTTACAGGTATGGTGTGTTGGCGTGACATCAACATCACAGGTAAGGTGTGTTGGTGGGATATCAACATTTCAGGTATGGTGTGTTGGTGTGACATCAATATTACAGACATGGTGTGTTGGTGGGACATCAACATTACAGGTATGTTGTGTTAGTGTGAATTCAACATAACAGACATGGTGTGTTGGTGGGATATCAACATTTCAGGTATGGTGTGTTGGTGGGACATCAACATTACAGGTATGGTGTGTTGGTGGGACATCAACATCAAAGGTATGGTGTGTTGGTGGGATATCAACATTTCAGGTATGGTGTGTTGGTGGGACTTCAACATTACAGGTATGTTGTGTTGGTGTGAAATCAACATTACAGACATGGTGTGTTGGTGTGACATAAACATTACAGGTATGTTGTGTTGGTGGGACATCAACATCACAGGTATGGTGTGTTGGTGGGATATCAACATTTCTGGTATGGTGTGTTGGTGTGACATCAATATTACAGACATGGTGTGTTGGAGGGACTTTAACATTACAGGTATGTTGTGTTA